TCTGACCATACTAACTTGGACCCCCATCCTCCCCAGCTCCAAAGGGCAAGATTTTTTCCTTCTCCTGTTGCTGCAATGAAGAGCACAATTACCTTTCAAAGTAAAAATTCTTAACAAAACTGGTGGTGACAAATCAGAAGTGAAAGGTCTAAGGAGATATTTTATCTTTTAGGTTTAAAGTAGGGAAACTATCATTAACTGCCAGTATGACTGTGTTTCTTATTTCATGTCTTCTTTTTTTAGATTTCACAAAAAAATCTGTGTCTAATCCTTCCAAGCTCAGAATACCTTCCTGACCTGAAGGTATCAAGTGTGAACTACTGTATAAGTGCAATGAATAGATAAACAGATAGATGACTACAGTTCTCTCTATAGGATGTTGTTGGGGCCTTAGTAAGAATATATAGGAAAGTGGAGTTTGTGGGGAACTGGACCGACGCCTAGCAACCGAACACCTGGAGGAGAACCAATCAGCTGGGAGCCTGTAGCCAATGAGCGCTGCTCCTCAGCGCATGCCCACCTGCACCGGTATAAAGCCCTGCTACAGACAACAGCAGAGGGGAGTTGACCTCACTTTGTGTGGAGGTGTTGTTTGCTCTGGCTTGTGGGGAGAGCCCTGGCACTTGGCGCGAGAGTGACCCTCGACAGGCATGGAAGTATGAACATCTTAAATGTGTTATTGTACATTTACTGTCCCAGAGCTAGATCTACCTAATACTAGCAGAACTTTACTTTTATAGATAGATGAAATTGGAATCTGTTCAACATGAAACCTGTACTGAGAATAAGTCCTTCACCTAGCCAGTCCTTCACGTAGTATAATGGACTCTACAAATTGCCATTTTACAGTTTTAATGAAAAATACCTCTTACAGACAACCATCTTTCCTGCAAGTTCAGCAGTCCTTTAAGGGCTTAACTGAGAATACTGGAAGACAGGATTTCAAACAACTTTGGCAAAATTGTTTTTGATATTGCTCACTGTGTTCTAATGCATTTAGCCAGCCCATTTGTGAAAAAGTGACTTGCCTAAGATGAACCAGTGTCTGTTTGTGGTTTCAGGTCTAAACTGGGTTCTTCAAGCATGAATCATATCACTGGCACTCATAAGTTAAGCAAATTAAAGCATTTTTGCTATCAAGTCACATGAATCTCTTGACATTATTATGGAAATATAATATGAAAACATAAGAAATCAGGTATTTTACATTGTAGAGTCTAAATGAAGAGTCACAAAACAGAAGTGACCAACTTTGAAACCATGTAACTTTTTTATCTTCAAAAAAACAAAGACAACCACAAAAGAAGAAGAAGAAGAAAATCAAGATTCAGACAGCAAACTTTTTAAGAGCAAATATTTGTAAGAATAGCTGTGAAAATATTTACATTCATGTATCATTATCAATTTTATTTAATTACCAACTTTAGTTCTATGTAACTAAATAAGGCAGTAAGCACCACGGCACCATCTTTGCTCTAGCATGTCAAGTAAGCACCGTCAACCATGTGAGTCAAACTGTCGCACAGTGCTATTAAAGGACAATTCAGTACATTCATACTCTCAAACATATTTACCTGATTTTAGGAAAAAAGGCAAAGACAAACACATTTAAATGTCACTGTTTCTTCAAGTCCTACAGGCAAATGTATATCCTGGGTTGTACATTCAAAATAAGTACGTTTTATAGTATCTCACTGTATTGGTACCTTTCACTTAAACAATGAGACTTCTGGAACTCTAAAGGAAAGTGTAAAGAGGACAGGTCCAGATTTTCAGTGGTGCCTATCAACAGAACAAGAGGAAACAGCAAATACTGAAACACAGTAAATTCTATCTGAATATGAGGAAAAACTTGATGACTGTGAGGGTGACAAAGCACTGACAGAGGTTGCCCAGAGAGGTAGTGAAGTCTCCTTCTCTGGAAATGTTCAAAACCCACCTGGAAGAGATCCCTTGGAACACACTGTACCTGACCCTGCCTGAGCAGGAGGGTTGGACCAGCTGATCTCCAGCTTCCCTTCCGACCGCAACCATTCTGTGGCTCAACTAGTTGAAACAGGAATAACTTTTTTAGATGTTCATTTAGTATTGAATTAGCTCTTTATCTGTTTCAACT